TCTCTGGAAAGAGAGACTCACGGGCAGGGAAAGGAGCCAAAGGGACTAGAGAGGGGACCGGTGACACTCCGTGTTTTGTAGCGAGCTTCCTGCGACGAGGGGCGCGACATTAAGGAGAGCCGGAAAATGAATGTCAGCCACGAGTACCACTCAGCCCTTCATCGGCCCGATCCTATTCATTTACCTTTTCTCCCCTTCATTCTGTTTCCTATGCTTTTTATCGCGCGTTTCTTTCAATCGGATCTCGTTTTCCTCGCCTATAAAATTTTCGTACGCTCCGCCGTAAATATAAAAGAAGTTCTTCACTCCATGCAAGATCCGGTCATGCAGTTTTCGTCACACTTTCGAAGGCTGTTGCCACCGATACGGCACGACATCGATTTGCGATAAAGGAATTAGAGGAGCAGCCGGGAAGGGTTAGGACGATAGAAATCGCGTATCAGGGAAGAAGTATTTGCATGCGAGCGTTTCGCGATCCTGTCAGCCCACATCGGCTTCGAGCTTCTCCTCCAAGTAGCTTTCACAGTCAAAGCGGAAACACGCCCAAGCCGAGTTTCCAAAAGCGAAGTCCTGCCGGATAAGCGGCTTAACCGGTCTCGAGCGGCTTCGTGCGTTCCTCCAAGGTTCTTGCCCGGTCAACTTGGAAGCACCTGACGCGCAGGTGAAAATATTCATCCGCGTTTATATTCCCTCTTGCCCCGGGTCACACTCGAGGGATTCCGATCTCATTTCGAAGGAACAAACCTACGCGAGTGACATTCCTGGCCGGCGATCTGACTCGTCCGGCACCTTTGTCAGGATGCTAATCGGTCGAGTGGATCTGGACAGCGCGACCGAGCGGAGCACCCCGTGGCGTTGGTCCACCAGGTCTGATTCACGATCTGATCGTTATCTCGCAGGCTACCATTCTGGTCTGGAATGCTCCGTGAGTTCTCCGAAAGAGTTGTTCGACGGTTTCGAATTAGGAACACGCGTGACGGGTATTTTCGGAGCGGCGAGGTTATCGACTGCTTCCGAATTCGAACTTCGATGAATATCTACTTCTTGCGGAGGAAAACTTTGGCTAACTCGAATTACCCGATCCTCGTTTCCGATGGAGAGCTACAGAGTGCAATGCGAAATCCATTTCTGGGAAACTTAGTTTAACCAGAGGGTGACTCGATCAACCGTCCGTATCGTACGATTACCAGTTTACGAGTCTCTGTCTCGGGCTTTTATAGGCGCGATGACCAGCGGTTGTAAACGATAAGACATCCACGGAAAAATTTACTGTGTGACGTTAAAGGCGGTCGCTCGAAAACAGTTCGGGTATGAGAAACGAAAAATAGAGGGTCGGACTCACAAAAATTGCGCGCTCGGCGCCACACACACTCTTATTATCTATCGCTACCACAGCATTATCTTCATTGTTCGCATACGTTCAAAATGGCCTTCGACAAGCCATGGAAAATGACGGAATGTTGGGCGAGCGTTGCGAAAGTTGCGCACAAAACGCATTATACGCGACGTGCTTCGTTGAACTTTCTAAATGCACCGTGCAGGCGTAACGAATACGTGTTACATGTATCCCGACCCATGGCGACAAGGGAAAGGTCGCCCCTGGGAAACTGAGTGAAATTGTTTTCACGAGAGAACGAGGAGCATGGATTTCCAATTCCAGGCATGTTTAATTACAGAAACTTCTTTATTGTATTGATTGTTTTGGGTAAGGACGATCGTTATTTGAAATCTCTGGCATGGAGAATTGATCGGTAAATTTTGAGTACTTAGAGAAATTCAGATGATAAATTTCAGGTCCCGTTAGTCGGAGCGAGCTCGATCGAATGTTAATCGATACTGTTCACTTGGCTCGTAACTTTGTTGGCTCAACTATACCGTTCAACCAAAGCGGTTCGCACGAGGCAGCTGCCGGATCGAAGTTGCTAGTGATTCATGGCGATGCGTGATGAGAAGGCAGATCAGAATTTCCCTGGTGCTAGGGAAGCGTTCTCCCTTCTCTAAATAGCACTGCTGCTTTTGTACGCGACCACTGCCCGTGACTCGAGGGTTTCGTTTGACCCTTCGCTATTAACATTTGTACAATATCATAAGCGGTGGTCGACGATAGACTTCGTGAACTATTGCACAACGCACCCACATCCCGAACGACTAGTATCGTTGCTTTTGATGTATTCATTGTTCTAGAAAATACGGGAAATGCAACGCGGTTCTCTTGCGATCTCTAATTGTATTCTATTCTTCGTGAGTAAATCTTATGAAATCGTCGACGCGTGCGTTTTTAACGCTAAGACGAGAAAGTACATGAAAACTGCACGAGCTCGTGCGCCGAGTTAAAATTGCAACCACGTCCCACTCGTCGGACCATTAACCCCGTCACTTCGTCAACTCTCGAGCGGGACCGAAGCTTTACCGACGGAATTTCAGCCAACAATTCGCATCCCTCGATTTCCCCTTCGTTCGATGAAAAACGTCACGGGAACCGGTCGTTTCGATAACTTATGGCAGGGCCGCGCGTGTCCCTTAGCAGTTACGGACTGCGAACGAGCTCGGTAGCGCTATTGGGACCAGGAAGCGACCACCGCGCCGTGTCCAACCGTGACGGCCGGGGATATCCGCGATAGTTTTATCGAGCAACTTCCATTCACCACAATTCCCTTCGCGGAATCGCCTGAGTCTTTCTCTGGAAGAGTCCGCTGGGAAACGCGTTTCCATATTCCCGTACACCGAGAACAGTGAATGGCTTTTTGCGACGGCTAGATTAAGTCTGACAATCAGTCATTTTCCAGGAACGCGTGAAAAGAATTAATTCGGATCACGGAGAAGGATTGCCAGTTTTCAGAAGATTTAGAAACCCAGTATCGATATCCTCCATGGTCCGGGCCCTGATATATGTTCTGGGAGATATTGAACCGCACGCGCGATTAAAAGTTATCTAGCATTCTTCCTCCGCGCGCAGATAAAACGAAACGATAAGGAAATAAGTACGGTATATCAATCCTATCGCCGGGAAAAGTAGACTCCCGTATCTCAGCTTGGACCAAGTTTTGATCGTATTCCAAATTTCCTCTCAGACAGATCTTCCCGCGAATCAAACAAACAGGATCACGTTGATATACGTGACGCGTATAAAAGACTAGGTAGTGACCTCGTCCAAAGAAATATGCTCCTCGAATTGTCAACTCGAAGAATTTATAACGACGGGAAAAAATTCGACCTCGTCCGAGCAAATCGTTCAAAAATTGTAGAAAACGCTTGGTGAAAAACTCGGGGCGAAGTCGCTGAGCCAGCTAGGGAGCAGCCATCCCTATCCCTCTGTACACGTGTGTATGTGTAACACAAGAATCACGCAGGGGTGGAAAGCGTCTTACTTTTGACAGTGATAAATACAGTTCTCGGGAATATAGGGGAAAGTTGGCGAATTTGGAATCGCGTCTTTGAGAGTGGAGATATTTACGGCGCGCGGCGTCGAGCTCGTCTCTCGAATATCGCGTCGTGTTTACGTAGTCGGTATCCGTGACCGACATTTGCAAGGCGATAGCGGCGCAACGATATACCTACATTCGGCGACGACAGGGATGACAATCGGTGTTTCGCGGCGGTGAGATTACCGTCGAACCGAGGGAATGCTACCGCCGACGACGACGACGACGACGACGACGACGACGGAGAGACTTGACTTTGTCAATTGAAGCATGAAGAGAGCTTCCTCCTGTTGCTGCCACCGTTGTTACGTAAATACGTAATACAACGGGGGATGGTTGAGTCGCCTCGCTTTACTAAACTTCGCTCGTTGGATCTTAATCGCCGACTGACGTTCGTCGCGTCGCAATTTATACGAAATTGCATCTGCCTATTCGTTTAGTTTATGCAAACAATTTTCCGCGGCGCGATTAAACTTCGCTAACTCGAATCTCGATGCAACATTTAATCCTTTCTAGTATGAGATTCGATAAAAACGGGGTGAATTGTCCTCTCGCATGGATGCGATTAAAGGAAGAAGAAGCGGGATGCGGGCGACAGTGACAGCTACCGCGAGACAGATTCATTTTCGTTGAACTTAGATAACAAAATAAATACCCGTTTCTCAAGCTCCTTCTCGAGGGCATCTCTCCGTCGCGGTATCTCTAATCAGATTTACGGTAGTTCAGCCAGAAAACCACTCTCTCCGCTAGCCGTGAAACGCCTGGCTGCACCGCGCTTTTGTTTAATAGCTCGGCTATCTCCGTCCGTTGTAATACGCGCAATTACGATTGTTCGAGTTACCAGGTGCTGCTATCCGACCCCGGTATTTACCTCGCGTCCTTCTGTTGCCTTTATATCTGCGCGCTCACGGCGCGGCGCGACGCGACGATGCGGCCCAGCCCGACGATCCCGCAAATTACTACGTGCCGGGATGACAAAAGAACGGCAGACAGGGAAACGGGAACGACCGGCCGGCCGGCCGCGCGTCGGAAATTAACCCGTTGTTAATTAAATTAACCAAATTACAGACACGACCCAGGCGAATTCTTTCCCGCGGCTGAATTAAGCGTGACTCGTACCCGCAATTTCTTGCACCGGTGCGAGGACATCTGCATCGCGTTACCAACGCTTCACCAACGAACGAACTATTCATTTCTATTTGTGACTGTAACTTATTCAACGGATTATATCTCGCAGGTGGAGATATATTAAAAGAACAATGACTATCCTGTACAACGATCTCCCGATTTCCCGAATTTCAATTACTCGCGAGCCAATTACACGGAAGCGGTCCCTGGACCGCAACCGCAATTCTGTCTCGGTATCGGAGCCTCGATCTCGCGAGAAGTCGCCATGATTTTCGGTGAATATACCGCGCGCGAACCAATCGGGCTGGTATTTTCGTCAGCGGTGAAACATATAAAATCGAGAGGGACCAAGAGAGAAAAGGGAGAACGCGTCGGGCTGTTGTCGCGTCGGTAGGTGTATACGGCGTGCAACGAAATTCCATGTTAATTGAGATGCCACGTAGTACTCACCCCTCGACCGGCTCCCGGGACCAACGATAAATACTCGTCGTGTTATCTGGCGTCGACGTATCTTCATCCAGATTTCGGGTAAATACCGGCGGTCGTGGAACGACTTCCACGTACAGCGTTCCTTCTCTTCGTAGTCGTCCCTCATTCTTTTCGGTAGTAATATCACTGTATAATTACAACTTCTGCGGTTACGAGGGGCCACGGGACGGGACGTCCAAACATTTTTCTTATCTCGCAGGACCGTTTCTCCTCCGGCTCCGGTCCACGGCCACTTATAGCGAGCATAATAGGGTTCTATTCCGGACCAGGTTTTCTTATCTGATGTACCGCGGCCGGGTTCCCCCGGGACGGACACTTATATGGAGTACGTAGCCGCTACCATAGCATCGACCGACCATTTTCGTTATTGGCTCTTCTTTCCGGCAGCCACTCCTTCCACCAGCTACCCGAAACACTGTTTCTCTGGCTACAGAGAGACAATACGGTAGCGTAGCTCCACTGAATATGCGTGGATCGCATTCTTTTTCCTGGGTCACTGGAAACTGGGGACGCTTACGGAGGTCTGAAAATGACAAGACACAAGTAGAACGTTAGATAACCTACTTTAATTTAAGAACACCGCGGGGCGTGTTTTTTACACGATTTTTAAAATTATCTATTTCCTCTTTATAAAACGTGTGCAATTTGCCATTTTCCCACGGCGAACGTAACGCGACGACTGTGTAATTTTCATTTTTTCGTTCTACGACCAGGGAACAATTGGCGTTTTTCCAAGCGAAATTCTCGAAAGGACGTGAAACGAAAGGAGCGAGTTTATTAAAATTATATCGTTTTGAAACAAGAAATTTCAGGATTCAGTTTGATCGGTGACACCGCGTAACCTCCGGGTTGACCTAGATCATCGTGTCAAAGTGCGTGGCATGATCCGGATTATTCGAGGCGAGGTTGGCTCGCAAACGATCGTTGCGACGCTATCGATACCAGCGGTGTCCCCAAATCCTGACGAAGCTGGGCTCTAATGCTAACGGAACATCCACACGATTTCCGGGAACGATGACGCACGGCACACGAATCCAACGTCTAATTTATCTAATTGCATTGGGAGCTCGCTTTGATGCTATCGCGCCGCTCTTGAATATGGAAGTCAAAGTGGGGCGAAACATGTACTTGTGACAAAGGAACTGAGACCTTGCAATCAACGCCACAAATCTTGATGCATGAACTGTGAGGGGTAACATCCAATTACCGGACAGTAGTTAACATAATTTGAAAGAAAAATTCAATTCCTGGGCGCCGCTAAATTGTTTCGCATTATTGGATATCGTGAATCGAATTAAAACCGTGAGTGGAGAGACGAAGATCGAGAACGAAGACGCGACCCTTCAAACGCTGAGAACGGGGAAATAAATTTTCTTCTCCATTTGCCAAAATGGAATTAAACGCTGACGTTGGATTAAAAAGAGAACGAAGAAAATAAAGTCGGTGCGTGTCGAGGCGAACATGCTACGGTAAGTACGAAAGTTGGCGCATAACGCAGGAGTTTCCGCATTCGCGTCAAAAACAACCGGGCATCTCATCGCTATCGGTGTCCTTAACGCGCGAAACTTTCGTACCGTGCGCGCTATCTGCGCCAAATGAACGAATTTGTCCGGAGTTAGCCACGATAATAAAGTTCCTTCCTTTCCTTTTTCTCCCTGCCGTCCTTTTTTTCTTTACTTCCCCCCTGCCTCGTGGGACGACGACGACGACGACGCGAGACGTAATGGCGCAGGACAAACAACAATCGCGGGGGAGAAGTTGCGGGCAGTGCGGGCACTGCTGATAACGATTCCTCGCTGAAAATAAAGGGACCGAGGAAGAATAATGGCCCCGCAGTTGTAAACTTTCGGCTGAATAAACGTGTCTAGTCTGGCGATATTCGGGAGTTACGAGCGTCTAATCCGTCGATGAAATTACTAGGGCTAGACCAGCCCATAAACGCGGGCTAAACTACAAACAACGTAACTATGGAACAACATTCTGTATAGTTTCCCTTTTCTCCAAACGTGCATGATAATTAAACCGTACAAAGAGTTTCGGAAGAGGGTTGCTTCCTGACAAAAAGGTTAGAAAAGCAAGCTCTTACTTGTCCTTTGGCAATGGAGTCAGTCGAGCTTACAAAATAGACACAAAAGGTTGTCCTCCGATGATAAATCGGTACGCCCTTTTGGTCCCGTGCCGAATTCACCCCATCGACGATCGCACCCCGCCCCGTTCGCGATCAAACGTGTGCTCCGTGTGTCGTGTCGTCCCGATTGTCACTGCGATCGAAAGCAGTCCTAATTCCATGTCACTAGCGAAGCCCGCCCATCAGGTGATGCGGACCCTGGGCTCCGAGGCATACGCGATTTTTTAGGGTAGCTGAACACACACGGTGATTCCAATCGCAATAATAGAATAGGGATTTTCTATGATCACGTATCGCTGCGAGAAAAAAATATTCTGGATCGTCCCTTTATTATGCGTAACTGGTTTTAGGGAAAATAGCAATGGGAAAATAGTATGTACGCGAAGGAACGTAGAAAAACGTTTGATTTCCGGCAGTGAGATGTCGTCGTCGCTGGTAGGGCCTGAAGGCGGGCGAGCAGAGTGCCGCGATTTGATTGAAAGTTCCGGCGCGCAGGGCGAAGACAAATGGCCCGAGCAAGGTCACCGGAAACGCTTCCAGCGTCGCGACGTTTTTCCCCCGTCTCTCTTTCTCTCTCTCTCTCTCTTCGATTACGAACTTTCGAATGTCCCCACGGAAGTTTGCCATCGCGCCCCTGGCGGAAAAAGCACCGGAGTAACTTGCCGCGCGAAGGAAAATCATTTAGCGAGGTCATCGTTTTCGCGTAAAGTTTCCTCGTCGACGTCTTTATTTGTCGGCTAATTAAAATGGACGTTCGAATTATAACTCAATACCTTTTGTAGATACTAGTATACGAAAAGAATTGAAATCTGTAACGAAATTAATTCTTTTTTTAACATTCGTCAACAATTACTCTGATTGAACGAGTAAACGTAACGCGTCGAATTAAGACCGATCGCGCACGTATTTCACGTGTCCGATTTTAATCAATGTCGGCGGAATCACCGTCACTGTATTATCATTTTAAACAAAGGTACAATTACTCGATTTATGCCTCGGCGCCGATAACGGAAACTTCGTACAATTTCATTTTTATTCGTCGACGGCCGCGTGTTTACAGCAAACAAACGGGCCAAATATTATATGCGAAATCCTTATGAATTTTTAATGGTAATGCAACAACATCCGCTGGATCGATAATAGACGCGCATACAGGTGCAGTTTCATGCCTCGATTTCTGCTCTGTTTCCCTTCCGTTTGGTTTTCGTTCATTTTATGAGCGCACCGGCCGAACGCATTATTATTGAAATATTATGACATTTGGTCCTCGTTTTCATCTGATCTTCCATTACTTAAACTAATCAATTTTGCATTCGAAAATGGTACCACTGATCCGATTCGCTCGGGGCCAAACAGGATCAATATGATAATGTCTGCGGTCGGACATTTGATAGAATAATGAATGATAATGCGCGATAATTATTCGGTTAATCGTTCGACTTAATTATTGAAATCGTACGGTCAATCATTCGGTCGTACCCAACCTGGGCGAAACCGTGTCGCCATAATTAATGGTGTCGTTCCACCTCGAGGACCGGTACTTCATCGGGCGCCGGTGCAGATCATCGGAATAGCGCCCCGAGTTCTAATTATGCAGAAAAGTAGGCGAACATTTTTACGAGGCCGGAAGAATTATTCGTACGGTTGGTAATAGCGAAAAGAAGTCGTCGACGGTCGTAGAACCGGGCTCCCGATAATCGGGCTAATTCGCGCGTTCGATGCGAAATTGAAAATTAATCGTAACGATCGCGGTGAAAATTGAAACAGTGTTTCCTCGCGGCATGGCGCGCCGTTCCATTTAATTTCGTCATTTTTCCTCCTTCCGTTTCTATTTTCTTCCATTCCTCTCTTTTTCTTGTAACGCTTGGAAAATGATACTCGGTTTAATCGAACGCTTTCATTCGATCGGTTCCTCGTATCGAGTTCAAAGAGAGCACGATAATGCTACACCACGTTTGAGAGATAAAACAAATTTGCAGGTTTACCTATCGCGTTTTGGCTCCTCTGCGTCTTGGTTTTATCGACGAATTGCGGACAAACGAATGTTTCGGTTGCCCGCGAAGGAAAGCAGGTTCGATAGGAACGGGCGCAGTATAAACAGCGTGGCGGCACTAAAGCGGTTGATGGGCAAATTAGAGCGTGCTCTGAACAGGTCACAAGCCTATGTTAAGGCGCGCGGGTACACTTAACCAGGCGCAATCACGGGCCAGTATTTACCTTGTCCGGTCCGCTATCGGGTTAATGCGACTCACGGCGAAATTAGTTTCGCTAATTTAACCCTGATAATGCGCCGATACCGTTTGATTGATCGTCCACCGACCGCAGGAGTAGTTACGTCACGGCGATCCCTATGGATCCACGTCAGATCATCGAAGACTTACGACCGTTCCACAATTTTACAATTTCCATAATAATTAAAAAAACGCGTAAACTGTCGAAATAAGGAAGTTATGAAATTAGCGATCTTTGGTTGGTATTTGCGAGGATGGCAGTAATCAGGTCGATCGTATATCATCGATTCGTCGTTAAGAGGAAATTTCTCCGCAAGTTAATTACTGCCACGTCGCGGTACCGCCGCGCTGATAGGAATTACACGACGCTTTTCCGATTCGATGAAAGCACTCGAAACGCGCAGACGTCGTGCAATTTCCCGCGAACTAAATCTTGTCATTATAATTTTATAACAGCACTCCTCCGTTCTCTGTTTTTTTTTTGTTCATTATCAAATAACCAGCGAAAGTGTTCGGGTGGAGGTTTGAAACAATTGTTTATTTATGTACTCGACGGTGAGAGAGCGAGTCGAAGTTTGGTTCAACGGCAGGATGGAACTTGTCCAATTAATTTTAAAAGGTTCTCGGGCGAAAGGAAACTTTTAATTACGCAATCTGCCCGTCAAGCATCCTAATTCCTGTGAATTTTTGATCCGCGTCGTTGTTCCAGGTGTCGAGTGGCGACCGAACGAGGGCGCGTCCGCGATCGAATCTCGAGACCGCGGAGCAACGGTTATAAAATTATACGACGTCGAAATAATTAGTTATCGTTTATACGTGCGAAACTGAAAATCAGCAGAGATGCAATTAGAACGATTGTATAGCTCGCGAGCCTCGGAACAATTTTCCGGTCGTTTAACTAAAACAGCAGAATAATCGCGTTTCCGTGATAATTTCGATGAGTCGCGATTATCGCGGAGACAATATTCCGGCGAGGACGAAGGCTGAAGGAAGTCGAAACGGGGGCAAGCGTAGCAGCGCCGACGAGAGGGAATCCTTACAGGAGCTCGTTTGTACCTTCTTCGTTGCTGTTTATATTTAATCCAGCGGCGGCGGCGGCAGCAGCAACATTTAGGGCCTTATTTCTGCTTAACTAAGCGTTCCTGTGCATTCCGCGAGGCAAAG